CGTCTCGGCCTTAGCTTCTGTTTCTTTAAAGAATAATCAGGTTTTGTTTAGGGCAAGATATTTACATTTAAGAGAAGAAATAAGAGGAAGAAAGATAGATTTCAAACCACAGAGGGGATAAAAAAGAACCCCTTGAACAAAAACACAACAAAACAAAGAGCCATATAACATGGAACCCATGAGGAACAAAATGAAGATGATGGTATGTGGTATGAAGAGACGAACTGAGCATGATCCTGGACTGAGGCTTAAGTGATGACCCCTGCTGGTTGCCCAAGATTTGTACCCAAACATGGAGTCATATGAAAACGTTAAAGATGAAAATGATCGTGATGTTAGATTTTCTCTGTGTACCTCTGGAAGCTGTTTGTGGGGAAATCCTTTTCTTCTCCTCTGGTTTTGACGGGACTGAAGGTTTTGTCTTTACTGTGTCCTCGATTAAAAGACTTGTGTCTTCTTTCTCTTTTTCCGTGTCGTCTCTCTGAGGAGGGCCGTCTCTGGATTCCTCTTTTTTCCTGTATTCTGCTTCAATTTTTGCAGCGACTGACTCAAACTCAGCACCCTGTTCGATCTCTTTTGGCTCCTTGAGCTCGATATCTGTTACTGACTCTTTCTGTTTTACCTTGGGGGTCACCTCTACTTTGGGTTTTGTCTTTTCAGCAACTTTCTCCTTGCTAACATCAGATTTTAGCTTCCTATCTTGTTTCCTTTCAGCTGGCTCTTGTTTCTTTACCGACCCTGTTCCTGGTGCACTAGTTTCATCTTTTCTGGAGTCGGGTGTGACTGGGAGAGTAACTGGACTTTCCTCTTTTCTACTTCTTTCCTCGTCTTTACCTTTTGTTGGTTTGTCTTTAACTACGTCTCCACTTGGCTTGATAGTAATTTCTGTAAGTTGAGCTGATACTATCTTGACCTTATGATCAACTGATTCATCGTAGGTGACTTCTGTCAAAGCCCTGCCTTCAATTTCCAGCTTTTCAGTTTGTTTTCTTGACCCTGTGCTGATAGTAACTGGAAAAGGTTTGGTTTTATCTGCATCAGTCAATGAGATCTCTTTTACCAACTCTGTTTCTTTGACTGTAGAAGTTTCCTCAGCTTCTCTCACTTTGCTTTCTGTTTTAATGGTTATCTCTCCCAGGCGTCTGACTGACATGCTGTCTCTCCTCTCGTCTGTGATTATCTCTGTTGGCGACTGCACCGTCCTGATAAAAAACTCCTCTGCAATTTTCTCTTTTGCAGGCTGCAACGTCGTGACCTGCTCGTCTCTGTCAGATTCAGATTCCTGCACAACAACAACGGTTTCTTGTGTTTTTGGGACGACTCTGTGTTTAGTGAGCCGGCTCTCTTTCCTCTTTGAAGTGTCAGTAACAGATATCTCACCTCTCAGTTCAGACTTTTTATCTCTTTGGCTCGCTGTACAGAAGACATCTACTTCTGCTAGCGACAATACTGTCTCGGCTAGAGGAGCCACTTCGTCCTCGTACAACACTTCGGCGTGTTCTTCCGTCACGGCTTCGTGCTCCCACACCTCCTCTGTGGGCGACACTTTCTCCGTTAAATAATAAACTTCCTGTATCCTCTCAGCTCCTTTTCTTCGCTCGATCTTGACAAGACTTGTCGTTGCTGGAAGTTTTAAGAAGTGTTGAAGAAGAGGCGTCATGTGGCGGCGCCAAGAGGTGACGACAAAACACAAAAACAAGAGTTAGTGTTAGAAAGAGACGGCACAGAGGTTAATTAAAGGGCTAATGATTGAGGTGATAATCCAGCTGTTGTGTATTATCACCAAGAGTTAAATATTAAGATGTGAACTCCGTGTTTTCAGACGGTCGGTACCTTTTTCTGGAGGAGACACTTTTTTCTCTTGTTCAACCTCTGCGGGCAGAATCTTCTCAATCTTCTTAGTTTCTATTTCTTTTAAAGAATTTTTAAGTGGTTTTTAATCCAAGATGGAGCGTGAGTAAAAGATCATTTTGAAAGAAGAGAATTCAGACAGTTAAACAAACATAACGAGCATACATTAAATAACACGAAACACAGCAAGCAGGAAGACATCGGACGGGAGTGTAAGATGTTACACAACCCTTTGAACGTTATCACATCTGCTGCAGACTCAAAAAAATAAAATAGTTCTGTTCATTGTTCAGTGCGTTGAGTCAATTGATGCTTGTTTGACGGTGAAGTTACGTTGTCTTTAAGTCGTCATTTTTATGTGATTATAATGTATGTGTATTTCTAAATACATTTTTCTATTGGCCTACATCCTGGTGTGCACTGCTGCCTGCCACTGTGCATTTTTTCATATTATTACCATTTATTTATTCACAGTGTTATTTGACAGTATTATAAACATTCAATTTAATACTTGAAATCTGATGCATTGCACAGAGATACAGCAAATAGCTCATGTTCATCCCGAGTGAAGAGGTGGACAGAGGCCAGTCAGCCTGATCACAGCCTGTCAACGTTCAGCTGAAGTTCTCTTGTGCTTGCTCAGTTAAAGTTACACAAAATATTTTCCTGTTACAAAGACCAACTTCACTTAATGTCCACTAACTAGCTGTGTTTGAGCCATGTCGTTTATTAAACATATAGTAAAACTATCTAACTAACTATCTTCTTCTAGATTTAAATTGCATTGCATGTTTTACCTTTAAATAAACTTTTCTCAAAGCATTTAGTTATTTAACATTTCTTGCTGCTATTTATCGGAACATCTTAACAAATGCTTTCCAAAACTGTGGGGACAAATCATTATTGCAGCCGTTTCAAAAAGGACACCTGGGGTTATGTGAATATCCGAGAAGACGCGGAAACAGCTGATCAGTCAGTCAAATGTTCGCTACATGAGAACTTATCTGGCTGAAGTGTTTCCATCTCCCATTTAGCGCTTTAACTCTTTACAAAAAGGCAAAAACCACCTCAAGTGAGAGTTTTCAAATCATCGAATTTAGACGTTTTCTAATGCGATACTTTAAAATGTGCATAAAAATATGTTGATGAAAATAATTATTTGCATTAAAATTACTCAACATTCTGAAGTAAAACCAATATTTTATTTTTTTGAGTCTACGTTTAGACGTGCTGCAAAATGCACCATATAGCAGATGAACGAGTGCAGCAACTGGGCTGATGGTTCACATGCATGACGACGACACAAAGGAAGGTATAAAGAGTTGAGGTCTGCCTCAGCTGTACCTTTAGGACGAGCTTCTTCTGCATCTCGTTTAGCTTTAACCTCAGGCACCTTCTCCGGTGTTTTATCGGGGGTCTTTGTCGGAACTGTTTTATCTACAGAGATCCGCTCTGTCTGTTTCTTAGACACCCTTTCAGGTTTCACTTCCTCAACCTTAACAGGAAGCTCTGCAGGTGGCTTCTTCTCAGGACTCCTCTCTTCTTCAGCCACCTTTAGGGGAACTTTTTCCGGCTTCCTCTCAGGAGGAGGCTTCTCTGGCACTTTTTTCTCAGGTATTTTTTCAGGCACCATCTTTGGAATTTCCTCCACTTTTCTCTCAGGTGCCAGTACCTTCTCTGGGACCCTCTCAGGGGTCTTTTCCTTCACCTCAACTTTCCCAGGAGGCCGTCTGTCAGGTACTGCTTTAGGTACTTTATCAGGCAGCTTCTCAGGTTCAGCCTCCAACACAACCACCTCATCAAACACCTTCTGAGGTTCTGTTTCAGGCACCTCTTCAGGTACGACTTTAGGTTTGGGCTTCAAAGCTTTAAGAGGGTTTGACACAAAAAACATGCAAAAGACATGACTAAAAAGAAGTGAAAAATGTGCTGGCGCACACATAAAGATGGAGAGCGGACATTTTATTGTAATCTAGATTTTGTGTACAGGTGGAAAGTTTGGCCAGCTGGTAACACCAGAGGAGTAACCAAAACCAGTGAATGAATTATATGACATACTACATCTAGCTACAGATATCTCATGATGATCCCCATGAGATATCTGTAGCTAGATATGTAGTATGTCATATAATTCATTTTACTTTGAGAAACAGAATCTCACGTTTTTAAACTCAAAGAACAGCACAAACAGCAGAAGCCAACACAGCCTGGCAAAGATCCAACAGAAACATAAAAGTACCTTTCTCTTTCTTTGTCGCCTCTTCTTTGGGAGGAACAACAACACGTTCTGGTTTCTTGGCGGCTTTTGGAGGCTCAGGTATTTTTTCCTCCACAGGAACTTTAAAGAGGACCATTCACACACATTAGAAGCCTTACAATGATTTCGAGTTGAAGAGTGTTGTTAGAGAAGGACAAACCACGACACTCTGTCGAGTGTAAGACAAACCAACTAAAACGGACAAACACAATGTGCAGCTCCATCGTAACACCACAGAAACCCTGCGAGCCGGAGGTCAGACCAAAACAAACACGCCACAGAAGACCGTTCAAGATGAGTGGAAGAGTTTTAGTGTGAGGGGTTAGGGCTTGATTAAACAGTTTGCTTCCACAAACTAAACACAAGGATCCATTTGCACTCTTAGAAAATCCTGATGGGTTAAAGTTTGATGATGAAGTTAAGAAGATTAAGAAAAACTCGGGCGCCGCATCTCAGTCAGAGATGATGTGTACCTTTCCTCGGAGGTTCCTGTGGTGCGGGCCTCGGTTCTGGTTTTGGCACTGTCGCTTCAGCTTTTTTCACTGCTGGTTCAGGTTTGGGGACCGCCGCAGGTTCTGGTTTTGGAACTGGAGGTTCTGGCTTGGCGATGGCAGGTTCCGGCTTTGTCACAACAGGCTCAGGTTTACGGACTTCTGGTTTTGTTTTTTCTGGTTCTGGCTTTCTTACTGCCGGTTCAGGCTTGATCTTTGCCGGCTCTGGTTTTGGAGCCTCTTCGGGGACTTAAAGCAACATTTTAGATTGGTTAAGATACGAGCAAAGACATTCAGGACACACAGAAAGTCAAAGATCCGCTTCCACGCTTGAAGCTCAGCAAACACAGACATCTTAGTACTCAAGACAGAGAAAGAAACACAAACAAAGCAGGAAATACCTTTGGATGGCGGCGTCGCCGGCTTCTTTACCAGCGCCGGCTTAGCTTCAGGCTCCGGCTCGACCTTCGCCGCTGGTTTGGCTTCAGGTTCTGCTTTAGGAGCTGGTGTGGGCTTAGGCTTGGGTTCAGGCTCAGGCTTAGCAGCAGGAGCCAGTTTTTTGGGCTCAGCTGGTACCTGAGGCCTGGGCTCATCTTCAGGTAAGTAACACAAACATTAGCTAAGGTTAGCATGGAGTCCTGGTAGCATCTCAGAGTTATCAAGAGGCGTCTGAAAGAGTGAGATGACACTCGACAGAGAGACACTCTGATGAAGAGTGAAACTAACATGAACAACACACAGAAAACCAACTACGAACAGTCAGATTTAAAGTCCGAATAAAGAGACATTAAGAGGTGAGAAGCTACGTAAGGAAGCAGCTGCTACTGAGGACGCTTGGTAAGATGTCAAACCACAGGAAGAACAAAGGGAAGTACCTTTCTTTGGCACTCCAGGCTTCTCGGCAGGTGGTGAGGGAGCAGCGGGCGCCTTAACCTCCTCTGCTCCTTTTAAGATACATTCAAACACATGATAAACAAGAAAATCCAAGAAAACAAGACGACAAAAGATCTGAACAAGTACAACAGGAAACACATGGTAACAGAGAAGGACAGCGGCGTCAGGGAGGACGGGAGATGTTAGAAATCTCTACCTTTGGGAGCAGGAACCTCCTTCTTCTCTGGGACTTTAACCGCAGGAATCTTTTCCTCCACTGGCTTTTTCGCCTCCGGTACTTTAAAATTTCAGAGAAGTGAGTGAAATTTTTAACATGAAAACATCACAGGAGGTTACGGAGTGAAAGATCACACAAACACACAAGTGTAAAAACATGTAAAACCACAGATGGATTTGATATTAAACAGGCACATGCCAACATCAGTGGTATGCTGGTACCTTTAGGTGCTGATGGCTCCTTCACAGCTGGTGTTGGCTTCTCTTCAGGCTTCTTCTCAGCTTTGGGAACTTAAAAGACACCGAATGTGTTAGCATCACAAGAGAGACGCCGTGCATTCACAGGTGAAGCAGAGAAGCGCAGCAGAAGATAGAAAAAACAGAAAGCAACCACAGTAGATAATGGGATAAATCTATCTGTAGCATAAATAGAAGATGACGTAAGAGAGCAATAGAATAAAAAAACAAGAATGACAAAGTGCAAAAGGAGAAAAAGTCAAAGATTTTAGGAGCGGAGGACGGACAAATAAGTTTTGTTTTGCCGGACAGAGCGCTGAGCTGCAGCAGGAAGGCGTTCAGGTCGGAGGTACCTTTAGTTGGGATTTCTGCTCTCAGTTCAACCTCCTTGGTCTCCACTGTCTCCTCAATGGGAACTCTGGCAGCTAGTGACAAAAAACAAAACACAGGAACACATCCTGAATCATCCTTCCATGTCCATGCTACTGCAGCAAAACCTTTCCTCACTTTTAAAAGATCAAACAGATGTAATCTATTGTTAACGGTTAACGGTTTAATCAATCGTACCACGAGGAGTCAACCTTAAATAAGGTGTTGTCTATGTGTGGTTTGACATCAAATGATTCAGAAATAAACAGTTGAAGGTGCTGACTTCAAACTTAAAAATGTACATGTTAACCAGCAGACCAATTAGAAGTGACATTCAAGGCAAAGGGAAAATCAGTGACTGATTATCTACAGCCATGCAGCTCAACGTTTTGGGGGGCAAGTAAAAGACAAAAACATGATAAATTGACCTCAGACAACCAAGAGAAGTTACAAAGAAGAATAATTATGAGACAAACAAAGAAAAGGGTGAGAGACAGGAACACAAAAAGTAAAAGAGGTCAAGGACATAAATCTCAAAAATAAAGACAAACATAAGAGCCGTGGTTAGGTGGCTCGCACACACACACACAGGTATTAACAGGCCGATGACTGACTTCCTTCCTGTGTGCTACTCTGATACCTTTGGCTGTGGACACCTGTTGTGTTACCGTCTCTTCTGACCAGCTCTGATACTCGACTGAAGGTGTGACAACCACAAAAGTGACAGAAGACAACAAACGTGAGGCAAACAGTTTGTGCTCAGTGACGAAAACTCATTACATCATTTCACAGTTTAACTGTCTTGTCGTCCCAGAAAATCCTTAGTTCACTCCCTGATTTTATGGATGGATTGCTGAACCGGGCACAGGCCACATGGTCAAGGGGACCCAGAGTTTTACTTTAAAGTGACTTTAAAGTAACCTTTTTTGTTGGATAGTAAACAAGCACAAAAAGTCGGGAAACAACCACAAAGATAGGAAAATAACTACAAACAGGTGCAAAATAACTACAAACAGGTGCAAAACAACCACAAAGACACACAAAGTGACTGCAAACAGGTGCAAAACAACCACAAAGACACACAAAGTGACTACAAACAGGTGCAAAACAACCACAAAGACACACAAAGTGACTGCAAACAGGTGCAAAACAACCACAAAGACACACAAAGTGACTGCAAACAGGTGCAAAATAACTACAAACAGGTGCAAAACAACCACAAAGACACACAAAGTGACTGCAAACAGGTGCAAAACAAACACAAAGACACACAAAGTGACTACAAACAGGTGCAAAACAACCACAAAGACACACAAAGTGACTGCAAACAGGTGCAAAACAACCACAAAGGCACACAAAGTGACTGCAAACAGGTGCAAAACAACCACAAAGACACACAAAGTGACTGCAAACAGGTGCAAAACAACCACAAAGACACAAAATGACTACAAACGTGCAAAATGACCACAAAGACACACAAAATGGCCGCTGCATTTATCATTTGCCCAGGGGCCTGTCTCATAAGATTGTGTTACAGCAACAAAACCCTAACTTTTCTTAGATAACTGTTTTGAGAGCCAGCTAGCTAGACAGCTGTAAACTACTTTGAGTTTTATTTCCTAATAAAGCTCCGCTGAGTTAGATTTTCCAGGTCGACAACACTGTGACTGTGACTATGAAAAGGCTTCACAGCTGGGAGTTAGAGTTTGTGATGAAGGGATGAAAGATGGGATGAGGGTTAAAGAGTGAAAAAAGAATAACACATCCTTGAATGTCGGACACAAAAAACAAACAAAAAAAAGAACTCAACAGGACTTTCACGTGAAGTCTGCTTGTGCTTTCTTGTTGGCAATTAACACAACTTGAGATCAGTCAGACGACACAATGATGCTGTTATGATGAACGTGGGAGGCAGATTTGGGTTTGAGACACTTTCAATAACAAAATAACGCTTCTTTACTGATATTTAACTTTCTCAGATGAATCCAAACTGCAGTTATCTGTTATCAACTGGTCCACAGACTCAGAATCATTTCTTATATGCATGCAAGAACATTTTCTGACAGTTAAATACTGAACAAACGTTCCTGTCAACGAAGATTAAGATTCAAGATTAACGAGATGATTTTTCTTAATCCTTGCTGTTTATTCTTCAGTCTGTTCCTGTGATGCTTCTGTTTTGTGAGAATTATTTTATCATCTGTTTTTCCCAGATCTGCTCGGATGGTTTGATGATGGTGATGGAGAGGATTAAGTTTGAGTGAAAATGAAGAAATACAACATGTTGTACCTCGCTGCTCCACCTCCACCTCTTCTTCATAGTGATATGAATATTCAGCTGATTCTTCAGAAAACAAAAATATTTTTTGTATTAGTCATTGAAGACAAGTTATTGAAGAGAGTTTGATAAGATATATGGATTAGTTTGCCTCTGAATGCCTCTGAGTGAATTGTGTTTTTATGCCATAAATGTTAAATTGAATCTGTAATTTAGATATCAGATAATCAGATTTATGTTAAATTTATTTATTTTTGGTAAACTCTGGTCAGAGTGGAGGATGTGAGCAGATGAAGTACAAAACACACAGTAAATACCTCTATGTTCAATCTCTTCTTCATAATGATAGAATTCAGCAGATTCTTTAAAAGACAAAAACACATGTCGGGTTCATTAAGATGTTAGATTTGGGTCAAATGTTAATTTTAGTAGCCACAGAGTGCTGTCTTTAAATTTAAAAACTTTGCCAGAGATCCACAAAGATTCACAGAGTCAGTTTTCTGAGTCCTTGAAACTTCATGGAATCATGGGGTTTGGGGTGTGGGGGGGGGGGGGGTTGTTTGGTTAAATTACTTTCTGATAAATGGATAACTGGAAAGTGAACTGGACCCTGCTCCAGATTCCAGTCTTACCTTGAATTGCCACTGATGAAGGCACCTCTGGCCTCTGAACTGAGGAGTCTGGGACATCTACAGAATATGAAATATGGTTCATACTTACACTTTACTAAAAATAAGCTAGCATTACAAAAACAGTTCATTAAGAAAAGGGCCGCCTGTGCGGAGGTTTTACAAAAACAGGATATTTACAGTTAATATTAACTGTTCTGTGTTTAAAGGAACAGTCTGATACTTTGGAAGATCCTCCTGCTTCCCAGCATTTGCCAGAGTTTTTTGATAACACATACCACCAACTGGGGTGTCTGGCTAACTGTGGCCAACCTATAACATCCGCCATCTACAAACAGCTAGCATAACACTGGAGATGCTAACTGTTTGTAGCTATAACATCAACTGGCCATGGTCAAGGTTACGGGACTAAAGTTAGTCTATATGAGACCTGACAACCTGCCATTGATGCTGTTTAAAGCTTTGTAGTGCGGCTAACTGTGGCCAACCTATAACATCTGCCAACTACAAACAGCTAGCATAACACTGGAGATGCTAACTTTTTGTAGCTACCATGACATCAACTGGCCATGGTCAAGGTTACTGTACGAAAGCTAGTCAAAATGAGACATGTCAAACTGCCTTGGATGCTATTCATAGCTGTGGCGTGCAGCTAACTGTGGCTAACCTATAACATCCGCCAACTACAAACAGCTAGCATAACACTGGATATGCTAACTTTTTGTAGCTACCATGATATCAACTGGCCATGGTCTAGGTCTAAAGCTAGTCCAAATGAGACCTGACAACTTGCCTTGGATGCTGTTCATAGTTAAGGTTGCAGCTAACTGTAGCTAGCATAATTTTGGACATCCAGACTGTTTGTCCCTTTTGTAACACTGAATAGCTTTTAACATAATGTTGGTTATACTTTTTCTAGGTACACCGGGTGGCAGTCTCGCCCAGCTTCCAGTCTCAAGCTAGGTTAAACATGTCTAATTAAACGGATGAAAAAGACTCTGGTAAATACGTAAAACAAGAGGATTTCCTAAAATGTACCTGCTAGATTAAAGTCGTTGACGAAATAAAGTACTCACCGAAGGGCACCATTGCTAATTCAATTTCTGTGAAAAGGGGAAGAGTGAACAACGTGTTAAACACTAAAACAGACAACAGCTGGACAGAAGCATAGAAAGTGCCGTCTGACTAGGAACTTTTACCTTTGCCAGACAAATAAAGCTCAGCTGTGCTCTTAGCCTCTCCTCTGGGCTCCAACCTCACAATCACTGAGTACACGCCTACACGGGATTATTAATGAAGACGTTTAACACTCAAGTCATAGAAACAATGAGAAAAAAAATCTGTAGGTCTTTGTGACGGGCCGTTGGGCTCGATGGCGCTCTACACACCTTCGTCTTCAATGGCCACATTTCGGATGACCATGAAATGTCTTCGGCCCTCGCTTCTGAAGTTGTACTTAGGGCTCTCTCTCAGTTCCCAGGTGTCTTTGTACCATGAAACGATAGCGTTGTCGAAGGACACCTCACACTCAAAGGTGGCCGACTGGCGCTCGTTGACTTCGATGTTGTGGATGCGTTTGGTGAAATGAATTTGTTCAGCTAAAACAGATAAAGACGTGAATGGGTAAACGTGTTTGGCATCACAACTGGGAATGTATGACAATACTTGAATGGTAGTTTTCATCGACACAACATCCACACGGTTAGAAATGACGATCAGAGGAATGTTCATGGGACGGTTATGATGACGGGATGGATTTGAGTCGAGACGAACGTAAGAAGACAACGAATGAGATGATGGCGGACGTTTTTGGCAAGATAATCCAGGAGAGGAGAGGCGTGAAGAATGTTAGGACAGAGGAAGACAAATCCCAGAAGAAAGAGAAAAAAAGAGGATCCAAATCTCCAACATTAGTCTCAGAGTTTGATGGGGAGTCGAAAGAGGTTAGTAAACGGGCAGAGCATCCACCACGTCTAGGAGGTTGCAGGATTGTTTCCAGGTACAAACCTTCCACCCAGAGGTCGGCCGAGGACTCCAGGTGCTGGTACCTGCAGGCGTATCTGCCCTGGTCTTCAGGCTTCAGGTCTCTGATCAGAAGCTTCTGAACCTTGTGTTTCACCTCGGATGTGTACCTGCCCTTCATCTCTAACTGCTTGCCGTTTTTAAACCACTGAGCCTCTACGTTAGGGATGGACAACTGACAAGACAGCGTGCACGACTGTCCTTCCTTACCGGATGTGTCCTGCAGATGCTTCTCAACCTCCGCTTCTGAAAGACACAAAGAAGAGAAAGCAGCATCTGTTAGGAAGGTTCAGAGATGAGATTGTTATATAAATGATACGATGTGACAGATGTTATGCAGCTGCAGGTGTGCAGTATCCGCACTGACCCGTGACGGTGAGCTTGGCGCTGGAGATGTGCGGCCCACAGACCACCCGGTAGTTGCCCTGGTCGGACGACTGGCAGTTCTTGATCTTGAGCAGGTGGCGGTCGCCGCTGATGCTGATGTCGTACTTGTCGTTGGTGTCCAGTTTCTGGGTGCCCTTGTACCAGGACAGGGTGATCTCTGGGTAGTTGATCTTGATCTCGCACTCAAACACCGCCACCTTGTTGGTGAAGACGGACTGATCGGAGATGTCCTTCACCACGGTGACGGGCTGCAGGAGGGACAAGAGAATCAACTCTCTGAAGTTACCAACAGAAACAGACACATTTTCTCACTGCTGAAGTGCTCGTAACACTTTTTAATTATCATGAAACAGGTGGATTATCTCTGGTGGTTTGCGACCTCTAATAATGAATGAATCACTAAAGATGTTGAAAGTGTAAATTTGCCAGGTGATCTGTCAAAGCTTTGTGCAAAGGGAAACAAAAAGCCTGACTGCTTTTATGCAACTCATGCGTTTGGTTTAAAAAACAAATAAGTTAAGAATTAAAGAATTTAATGTAGGTGTAGCAACAACTGCTTCTTTGTCTCAGACTGTAATCTGTGTTTCAGACGCCGCATCTTCAGCCTTTTAAAACACTCAGCAGGAGCCAGTGGGCTTATTATTAAGAAAAATGTATAAATAAAACCTGCTGCTTTCAAATAAAAACTGAAAATAAAAAATGCATTTTCAATGTGAGAAGTTAGACGCTTTCGGCATTCTGTTTTTATTTTACGGTTAATAAAGTCGAGTTTTCAGTATTTTTACCTGATCAATAAAGTCACCTGACTGTCAGGGACTTTAAGGCTTTTAACTTACTAGAAAATAACACTTTTGATGCTGTGAACATCCCGCTGCTTTCAAACGTTATTTACGACATGTGTCGATAACTGAACCGACTCTGAGTGGAGACCTCGCTGGGTGGCCAGGTAAGAAGGACCTTGAGTTAAGATGCTGTTGCCAAACTGCTCGTCCTCAAGGTCGAAGATGAACGTTCATCCGAGAGTTTTTAAATGTTGCTGGCTGGCTTGAGATCAGTTTACAGATAAATGATCATCAGCCTGATGAGAAAAAGATAACTTGTGTTTGGTTTAACGCTTTGTTTTTTCCAGCCTGACCTCTGTCCGCTCCATCCTCTTCTGCAGGTCGGCCACCAGTCGGGCCATGTCCTCATCAGACTCTCTGTCTCCACGTTCCAGTTCCTGTCAACAACAACAACAAGCAGGTTACTCAGCCTGACGTCTACGGACACAGACAGACGAGCGGATCGTGCAGAGCGTTACCGGTCTTCCACTTTCTTCAGCCTTCTCCTTCTTCAGCTGCTCGATGGCCTGCAGCAGGCCTCGGTAGTCCGTGATGCCGTACATTCGGGCGTATTTCTCGTACTCTTTGGGGTCCACGTTCCTCAGCAGCTCGACGATGTCGATGTCCTTCTCCTCCTGTGGACTCTTCTGCTTCGACGGCGTCCTGAGAACAAAACAAAGGAGCCAACGTGAGTTTGGAAAGACGGAGACGGGAGCAAAGTTTACAGACTGAGAATGAGGAGACGCAGATGTCTCACATATCCATGATTTGCGCTCACTTCTTCAGTTTGGCTCGGAGGTCTCCCTCCAGCAGCGCCGCCTCTTTCTTTTCGTCCACGTGCATGTCGGCGCTGCTCTCGATCTCTCCGTGCTTGTTGGAGGCAACACACCTGTACTGACCCGAGTCCGACCTGGTCACCTCCCTGATCTCCAGTTTGGCCTCCTGGCCCTTCTGCTCGATGGAGATCCTGCCGCCGTGCGTGATCTGCCGCCACTTCCCCTTCATCCACTTCACGCTGGGGATGGGGTCGCCGCCCACTTTGGCGATGAAGGTGGCGACGCCCTCTGTGGAACAACAGGTGGGAGTTAGGACAAAAGTGACCCATGTGGCCGAATTAACAAATAAGTAAATATGATTTGTGTTTGAAGTCTAAACATCGAGTAAATAAAAGTTGTGTAACTGTTAAAGGTCCGGCTGGAAATCTGCAGCGCAGAGATTTGGTTTCTGTCAGTCAGATATCTGGAAACATTTTGTTACAGCCTGTGATGCTGCAGTGACTTTGTTTTTAAAGAAATGATTGTTTTAGAAAGGACAGAGCTACATATGTTTCCTCCGGCCGCCGCCATCTTTGCCTAGCTCCCGCCTAATCTAAACATGAGAGGCCATCCACACCCCTCATTATGCAGAACTTTAAGCCTTATTATTCTATTTCAATGTTATTTATATAGTGCCAGTTCATAACAGAAGTTATCTCACTGCATTTTACATACAGAGCAGGTGTGTAATATTATTTAGACCCAACAGTTCCCACCATGACTAATCCCTCTAACAGGCAGAACCTCGAGCAGAACCAGGACTATAAAGATTTACCAGAAGTTACCAGAAGCTTTTTTAGTACCAGGCTCGTTTATTTCTGCTGTAACGCCGGCAGGTCTGAGGGGAGCCTCAAGTTCAGCCCTGGAGGTTGCTGCTTGAACATCACTACTGTTTTACTGGCTGAGAGTCCTTAAAGTGACAGTTCAACTTTGAGAAAGATTGAAACAAAAGTATAATAATATTAATAATGAAAATTATAAAGTAGAATCGTCATTTTTTTTAAACTAAATAATTTGACTGCGTCCGTTTTTGTGTACATGTTGTGTGTTGCGACTCACTCTCAGTGGCGTGTGCAGTTTTGGGCTCCTCGATGAAGAACAGGTTTTCCAGTTTCTTGGCCGGAGCGGCTGCAGGAGCTGCAGCAGGAGCCGGAGCTGCTCCTGGTTTCTCTGCAACACGACACCAAGATGCAAACATTACAACAACTGCTTCATTCACCGTCTCAGGTCATCAGCAAAATATCCAGTAATGCTGAAGTTAAATCAGGTAAAACGACATCGACAGAGCAAAACTCCTTCACACAGACACGCCGTGACTTAAAGAGTCCACCAGGTGGAGCTGTTTGATATCTGAGGTTCAGTGCTGTGATCTTAACAGATATTTTTAGGTAGCAGCATGTTTCCGAGTTTCTACCTTTGACGGTGACTTTGGCCTTGCAGAACTCGCTGCCGGCGTCGTTGGTGGCCTTGCAGAGGTAATCGCCGGCATCGTGTTTGGAGGCCGGGCTGATCTCCAGACAGGCCGTCCCGTCGGAGAAGCTGATCCTGGTGCTGCCGCCGGACGTCAGGTCCTTCCTGTCCTTCATCCACTGGATCTTCAGAGGAGGAGACCCGCAGACGTGACACCTGAGACTCAGCTTCTCGCCCTCGTCCACAGTCACCGGTTTGAGGGGGACGTCGAACACCGGAGGCTTCTTGGCCTCTGCAGGAGAGATGTGACAGTTTAATTTCAGCAGGCTGGACCGGGGTCAGTGCCGAGAGTACTGACCTGGACTTCTTGTCCGGGAGGAACACAGGCAAATTATAATCCAGCAGCTCAAACTCAGCTCAAGTTTCTTTTGTTTTCTACAAGACAAGAAAATCTGGTTTCTAATTATTCCTTTGCATCTACTATCTCACAATTACAGGTTGTTTCATTATAAAGATTTCGTCATTATGAGATTGTTTTCCTGTAATTATAGATTCATTGCACATATTTATTCAATTTGATCTTGCAAATATATTTAATAAATCTTACCTTATCTAGCTCATAATTACAAGTAAACACATGAGATTTTCTACAGAATCCACGTTATGAGAGGAAGGTCTTCTAACTGCTTTCACCTCATGTCTGAATATGTTGTCTTTGTCATTTCAACATCAAATCATTTATAATCATGAAAAGTAGAAGAATGCGCACTTTGTAAGGGCTGCGATTAATTGTTGAGTCCAAGTTGGCGTCTTCAAAATGTCTCGTTTTGTTCGACGGACAGTCTGAAACCCACACGGTCGTCTCACACCTCCACGCTGGTGCAGAACGCTCAGAAACGCCCGTGTTTCTTGAGGAAGCTTAAGGCCAAATTCCCGTGCAGAGTTCTACTGAGCAGCAACAGAAACTGGCCGGACCGGAGGGCTCTGCAGCGCGTCATTGAGGAGGCTTTCACACCTTAAAGTCGGCACCAAGGTCCGAACCGAAGTTCATGTTTTGATACATTTTGACACATTCGGTTGGTTTTGGTTTGGTTTCTCTGTGACGTTTACGTGACAGACCTGCGCCCTGTGGGCTGCGTCTCCCTGTACTTGACACTGATTGGTCTGTAAACAGTTCAGCGCATTATTTTTGTTGTTATTATTATGGCATTACTGTCTGCAGCGCCGCCTTTACTGAAGCCTACTTCAAATTAAACGTCCTCGTTGTGCGAACGGACAGGAGGAGACAGGACTCCTGCACCTCCGCTTGAGCAGAGACCAGAGATGTGAGTGACAGTTTGCTTTTACAGCAGCCGTCACAGGAGATTTAGAATCGTGTCCTTATTTCAAACGCCGAACTTCCTGTAAATAGTCCGAATCATCCAAAAAATGCTTTCACACCAGAAACGGACCGAACCACGGTTCAGTTTCAGACCACCTCTTTTCGTTGGACCAAATTTCGACCGGTTTGGTCCGGATCGTGGTCCAGGGGAGGTTTCACACCTGCAATTTTGTTTCGGATCAAACTAAAAAGTCTGAGAGTCCGGACCAAACGAGGTAGATGTGAAGTCCCCCCACACCTGCTCAGAAGATCCTTGGTACCCATCTCCCGAGCATCAGTGATGTCTGTGAGGTGCCTGCAGAGCCCAAAGGATCCTAAAGGCCAGAACCCACCCAGCCACAGCCGCTTCACCCTGCTGCATTCTGGGAAGAGATGTAAAAGTTTCTGCTGCTGCACCACCAGACACCAGAGGAGATTTCCCCCCCGAGCTATCAGACTCTTAAACTCTAATTCACCCTCAGCACTGCTCCACTGATGCTGGTTTATAGTTTGCTTCTGTTTACCGTTCTCTGAATGTTGGAAGTTAAATATTGTCTGAGTCACAAAGTTTCATTTTCCAACCTGTTGTAGTTTCAGCACTATCATCTACTTTGTGCCTCGAAATATATTCAGTTTACTGAGATTTAAAACACAGAAAAGCAGAAACACAAATCTATTCAGTGACTGGATGTCTGTGAAGGTTCTCAGTCATCCGGGTCAGAGTGATCCGGGGAAGGCTAAAATCAGCGGCAGCTGGACTTGGTTGAAGATCCTCGAAGACGTTTCGTCCCTCATCCGAGAGACTTCTTCAGTTCTGACTGACTGGTAGGGACTGGTTATTTACACCATCAGCTGTCCGTGAGTCCAGCATGGTGTAAACTCTGGAGCTCAAACCCACCTGAGATGCCCACAGTGACGCTGCAGGAGGCTCTCCCAGCCTCGTTGGAGGCCTGGCACGAGTACCTGCCGCTGTCCGACACCTGGCTGCTCTTGATGCACAGCACGGCCACGTTGCTCTTGAAGCTGATGTCGTATTTGTCGGAGCTGAGGATCTCCGTGTCGTCCCTGAACCAGCTGACAGAAATGGGCTGCGAGCCGGTGACCCTGCCCTCGATCTTCACCAGCTTGCCCTCCGTGTCCTCCATACTCTCCGAGGGCTTCTTGGTGAACACCGGAGGGTTTTTACGCTCTAAAGAAAGAGGAGATGAAGGCGGCGGTGAGCAAAGAACAAAGAAACGCCCTCAAAGGGGGCCTGAGCGTTTAAGAAGAGAGGGCCCAGATGACGAGACCGGGGCCCCGGTTAAAATACCTTTGACAGTGATATCAGAGGAACAAGAGTCCTTCCCCATGTCATTAGAGGCATGGCAGAAGTATCTCCCCGTGTCGCCTTTATCGGCCTTCAGAATGGTCAGGTGGGGCGTGTTTTCCACACAGCTCATCTTATAATTCCCCCCAGTGCGAATATCTTTATGGTCTTTGGACCACGTCACTTTAATGGGGGCAGAGCCGGTCATGTGACACTCCAGCTCAATGCTGTCACCCACCGTCACCTCCTGCGGTGACAACTTCCTGTCAAAGACCGGTGGGTACCTTGGTTCTGCGGGGTCCGTGAAAGAGCGGGAAGAAGGTAAGACAACAACAACAACAACAGAACTTTAGAAAGAAGAATTTCAACAGTTTGGGCATCAAATCGGCGTCTGACAGGAGCTCAGACACATCACAGCCGACCGAGCGTAGAGTTTCTCAACCTCAGGGTCAGGACCCCACGTGGGCTCAGTTCAAACGCAGATGAGTTCGGGACGTTTCTCCGACTTCTACTACAGTTCAGACCACCACTGATTTTTAGAGGACTGCTCTAAAAACTACAATACCCATGAGCCTCAGCTGCTGTAGAATCAGACAGTGACTGGCTCTGTGATGTTTGTTAGTGAAATGCACTCTGGGAGTTGTAGTTGACTTCTCTCCTTCAGGCTTTTTATCTCCTGTTTCTTGTACCGATGATCCAACTAAAGACTTTTTATCTGATTCCTTTATTAAAAATCTGCGTTATAGGAAACAATAATACAGCAACAGTGTCAGTGACAACAGCCGTGTTTTCTTTTATATCTATAACGTTACAATGTCAGATGTTAATGTTAAACATGGCCGAAGCGTCAAATAACGAGGAAGATGTATTTGAAAGAAATCTGCCCCGAGCGTTCCGGTTTCAACACTTTGTTCTACTCGCCTCAGCTTCATCAACAGAAAGTACTTTCTTGGCCAAATACTAAACAACTTCAAGAGACTGGCGTGTCGTCTGCAGTATAATGGGTCACTTTTAAATGTGCAGCGACTATAAAACTGCACTCGCAGAGAAAAGCCAGCTGGTCACAGTTCGTATTAGCCGACTTCCTGTGAATCAGTAATTCAGTTCCACGTGGCTTCAGCTCGACTCCTACTAAAGCTAACCAACAAGCAGCATCTTGGCTTCTGTCTCTGGTGGATTTCATTTGCTTTCAGTCAAATATTTAAAGGTATTAAATTGTAAATGAACTCATTACATATGAATAGTTGACAGATAAACATTTAATTCCTACGGGACATTTTCTTAAACTGCTTAAATTGGATGAGAGAGCAGAAAGAACACAGTTTGTTGGTGGATCCCTCCGTGAAGTGCTTGTTTCAGATCTCATGCTGTTGCTACAGCGTCTTCACTTTATCTACAGCGTGCACGTCTGAGCGTGATGCTGACGACACCCACGCTGTGAAAGGAAGTCATGTGACTGGAAGGCAATCTTTGAGCCGGGGTCACATGCCAGAGACGGTTGAGAAACTCACGGACTCAGACTAAACAAACAAATCTTTCAGTACTGAGCTCACGATCATCACGCCGCCGCCACGCTGTACAGACCTTGCAGAGTGAGCTTGGCTCTGCAGGAGGCCGAGCCCACGCTGTTGGTGGCCACGCAGGTGTACTCCCCAGAATGCCTCATCTCGCCGCGGCCGATCTGCAGCACGGCCGTGTTGTCGTCGTACAGCATGGAGAACTCGTCTCCCTGCCTCAGGGGCTCGCCGTCTTTCAGCCACGACACCTCGATGGGCGACGAGCCGGCGACGCGGCACTCGAACCTGACGGCCTGACCCTCCGTCTGCTGCAGGCTGGTGATCTTCTTGGGGAAGGACGGCGGCGTTTTGGCCTCTGGACAAAGGAAAAGATTAGTACAACTTCGAGTTACTTGTACTTTCCTTGAGTATTTAATACTTCTACTGCACTACGTTTGTCCGAGCAATTAAGATTTTACATTAGAGTTTATTTACAGTCTTTAAAATAGTTGGAACGAGCTCCACCTCAGCTCCAACACTCAAACGCTGCTTTTGCATTGAAGCATCAGTGTTATTAATATTCCAGGTCTTTTTTTGCATTCAGTACTTTTCTTTTACTACTTAAAGAACAATTTGTCAGTAAAACATACTTTTACTGAAGTAACATTTACAGTCAGCTTGTAACAGAGTATTTTTACAGTGTGCTGCTGCTTTTCTCGTTCCAGATATTTTGCCTCACAGTTCAGCTTCACTGTGGGTCACTTTTGCCGACTTTCTCTGAATTATTTTTCTCTCTGTTTTAGAAATGTCTTTGTGGCGTGTTTTTATTTTTATAAAGCAGACTGAGCCATTAAACACCTGCACTTTGTTTAATTTACTTTTACTTTGTGTCTCTGTCTTTTAAGCAGTTTGTACATTTGGACCAAGAAAGGTGCTGCTGCATTTAAAGAAACGTCATGTTCACATAAAGAATTGGAGAATAGGTTTTTCTATCTAGAAACTTTCTAGCTTTGGAAAGAAGTAGTTTGTGTTTCGTCAGTTATTTCCACAGATATGACTTTTACTTTGTTTGTGTTTAAGATTCATACTGATTTTTTAAGCCTAAACTAACATTTAAATCAAACGGATGAATATCAGGTGTTCACCTTGCACACTGAGTCTGCAGGTGGAGGAGGCGGAGCCTATCTTGTTCTCCGCCTTGCAGGTGTACTCTCCGATGTCGGCCTTGGTGGCCTTGCTGAGCTTCAGACAGGCGACGCCCTTGGTGTACTCTAACCTACAGGTGGGGCTGGACCGGACTTTGCCGTCGGCTTTGAACCAGGACACCTTGATCTCAGGCGTGCCCGCCACCTGACACTTCAGACACACGGCGTCTCCTGATGTCACCTCCATGGGCTCCAGGGACTCGACAAAGTACGGTGGCTCTGCGGTCACAAAGACAAAGTGTTCAGACAGTGTAAAGCCTGACATCTGCTGGTCAAAGCAGGTACTGCACGGCCTGTAACACGTCACCCGTCTTCTTCCAACAAACCCGTGAAGGTGTTCTTTGTGTATATTGTAAGTTTGGTCGTAAAACCCCAGGAAACAAAGACACCCCATTAAAGAAGCACAGCCTGCCTACACTTTTCAATAGGATGTAACTGTACACAGACACCACAAACAGAACCAGTTCAGTGATTATCAGCGTGGGAAAGTTGAACTAACCGAGGATGGACACGTTGGCCTCGCACGTGTCCTTCCCGGCGTCGTTGGACACTTCGCAGGAGTACCTTCCTGCGGCCTCCTTGTCGTCGGTGCTGAGGCACTCCAGGATGCAGGAGCTTTCGGTCGTGGTGATGTTGTGTTTGTAAGAGGCGAAGATCTGCTGGCCGTCTCTGTACCAGTTCACTGTGATTTTAGGCGTTCCGGTGTACGCACACTCCAGCGTTAACGGCTTGCCCTTTTCGACCGACACGTCCTTCAGCTTCTTAGTGAAGGCTGCGGGCTCTGAGTGACACAATCAGACACGGTGTTCAGTTTAACAGATGGTTATCACTCTTATACAATGACAACAGGTTCTCATCTCAGACAAAGCGTCGAGGTGCCTTTTTAACATGTGTATATGTAGTTTGGTTAGGTTCAGGAAAACTAAATAAATACATTACATGATGGCAGATGGGAGTTATGTGAAAGCCCAGGGTGTCTTTAGCTGAAGGATATTTGACGCCTTGGGATGAGACCAGGCTCACAAAGACCACATGCCAGTGATTAGAGCTGATCCAGGATCAACATACGACAAATGGGATTTACTCATTCTGCCCCATCTTTTATTTTACATTTTGACTTCAATGGCGATATTAGTTTTTTATTATTACTTTACACCCACCTGTTGTCGTTGCCTACGACCAAGAGACTTTGTTTTCAAATCTGCTAAACATAACACCTTTTTATGAAAGTTCCTGGTTCGCAGCACCTGGATCAGCGCTGGGAAGTCATCAACATCTAACTACAGTCTCTTTACATGTGTCCTAAACACCTCTATTGTCACTGTGTTTCTAAACCTTGGACAAATGTTTAATTTACTCCTCCAACCAGCAGGAGGAGCTGGTGAGGATGCGGTGTCACAATTTTGAAGTACTTGTATTTATGTATTTAAAATCAATTCTGCTTTCTACTTTTCACTCAGCACACCCACTAAAACATTTAATCTGCTTCTGAAATATGATGCATGGTTACAGATTAAACTACTACGGAAGCCCTAAACGGCCATCGATTCAAAAAAATGTTTTAACCCTCTTTCCCATGATAACGTGATAATTATCTTGTGATCTCGAGATAACAAAACAATAACTTAACACGGGGTCGGCAGGAACGTTTCTGAATGAGTCACTGGTTAGCTCAGTTGGTGGAGCACAGGACTTGTGTCTTCGACCCTTATTATACACCAATTTGTTTCTTTTTTTTATCTTTTTCTTAATCCTCTTCAACAAAGTTTTTATGCAGAGACTGTTTCACATGCTCACAATAAAGCGAGTGCTGGACTGTGTGCATCCTGGTCCACATCCATCAACCTGTGGACTTTTCATTTCCCCATCATTCCCAGGCAGAGGAACTTCCTGCTCTTCTCATTCAGGGGAATCCATTTAATGTTACGCATTTCGGAACCTTTGAAACAGCCATTGGGAAATGTGGGATTGGATTCCCCTGAATCTCTCCATAACAACTTTGCTGAAGAGGATAATAAAAAACACACGAAAGAAGAAATAAAAGTTGCTGAGAGCGGGATCCTTGGATTACGAGACCAGCGACAATTATCTTAAAGAAACGCACCTGCAGACCGCTGTACTCGGCTGTCATTCGTTACCTCGAGATCACGAGATAATTGTCCCGTTATCCCGGGAAAACTGATTAAAAAAATGTTTGAATTTATGGCCGTTTAGGGCCTCCGTACATCAACAGTCTATAAAGTCATTTTAATTAGCCCCACTCCCACCAGCCACACTGTCATGGATCAGTAACATGAATGCATTCATATAATATATAATAAAATAAAACCAACAGGAAACATTCTGCTGCAAAATAAATACTATTTCTGACACTTTAAATACATTTTGCTCATAATACTTCTGTACTTTCACTTAGCTGCTAACTTTTCTTCGGTTGAATGCATGAATGGTTCTTGCACCACCCTTTACGATCCACTGGGAGACCCGACTACAGTTTGTGGATCTACATAAAGGTGGGAACACAGACTGACCTTTGACAGCCAGATTGACTGTGCAGCTTTCCTTTCCTGCGTCGTTAATGATCTGACAGGTATACTCTCCAGCGTGAGATCTGTCCACGTTGAAAAGCTCCAAAATAACTTGGTTGTCCTTCAGGGAGAAATTACAGTCCCGTCCGGCCAGGATCTCCTTCGTTCCTCTGAACCACTTCAGTTTGAGGGGGGCGCTGCCTTTCACCATGGCTGAGATAGTCACGTTAGAGCCCGGCATGGCTTCCACCGGCTGGGGCGGCACCGCGAAAGATGGAGGTTCTGGGCGTAAACAGACAGCAACGGAAATCAGACATCATGGTGGAATCTGAGTATCAAACTACTTAAGGGCCAAGGAGGAACTTAGCTCAGAGATGAATATTTTTTTTTTCATTTATATCTGGTCACCTGAGACATAAATCCCCCGGCCAAAATGGAAGCACAGATAGTTTTTGTTATTCACTATGTTGTTCTTCTTCTAGTGCAGACCTAATGACGACATCTGCTGTAGTTTTTACACGCCTACACCGTCTGTAAGCCACAACACAACGTCCAGGTGGAAAGATTCCTACAGGTGGAACACCACTTTTAAAGGGCCTTTAAACGCATCAGAGTTGTTTTAAGGTCTAACTAGGGCTGACCCCCAATAGTCGAAGATTCAGTGCTTCGATGGGCGGAGCCTGATTCGACTGTCAGTCTCACAGTCAAAGCTTAGCAGCGCAACAAGGATCACGCCATTTTGGCGATATGGGGTGCTCAGCGTCTGATTTTACACAGAACTACCAGTTTTCGCCCAATAAGTTAATATAAAGCCTGTTACAATATACATTTCAACGTTTAATGCTGTAAATAAACATGTAAAAAGAATAAAACTTTCAATAAATGTTTTTAAAGTGCGTAAATAAATCCTAAATTGTAACCCTAACCCTGGGTCGCGCATGTGTAGGCGTAGCGTGTGTGTGTGTGTGTTGGCAGGAGAGACGGAGCTCCAGCTTCACTGGTGTTGTGCTGAGTTGTTCGCACCTCGCGGGACTTTCAGATAATTCATCACCGTTGATGAACCACACAAAGAATATTACATCCTTTTTAAATAGCCAGCCAAAACCAAAAACCCACACAGATTTCCCTGAGCAGTTGTGTTAATGTTCTGGCATAAGCTATAATAGTTGACACTGTGATAAAATGCATTTTGTAACATAATATTTTTAGGCGAATCCACCGTAAATCTCCTTCAACATTAAAGGTTTCCTCTTTTTCAGCTCGGATTATCCTAAAATAGAAAATGTGCAAAAACATTCATGTTTTAAGAGAAGATAATGAGAAACACTCAATATCTCTAAGGATTAATGCAACAAGCACATAATATAGGAAGCAGGTGCAACCCGCAGTCTTTCTCTGTCTGTAGTTACTGACCTTTTACAACCAGGGAGGCTGTGGTTTCACTGGATCCCGCCTTGTTGACAGCTTTACATTTGTACGCTCCAGAGTCGGACAGCTTCAGCGTGGGCACCTTGAGCGTGCAGCTGTTGTCACTGAATGAAATCTCATAATTTGGTCCGCTCTGTATCTCCTCCCCATTGTGGTACCATGAGATGGTAAAAGGTGGGGAGCCCGACACTTTGCACTCCATCTCTCCGGCTTGTCCAACAACTGTGTTGCAATCCTTCAACTTCCTGGAGAATGTTGGAGGAACGATCTTATCTGTTAGGGAGGGAAACAAGGAGTTAGTGGTGCATCAGGGCAAATACAAGCGAAAATATCAGTAATAGGGCTGGGTAGGAAAACCTGAATGCTTCTTGGTGTTGCACCAGGTATCAAAAACGGTGCTGAGAGCTGACACTAAACATTAACATTTGAAAACTTTTGCTAAACACAAAGGTTTTGAAGAAAACCATGATTATATTTCTCAAAGTATGGGATCCAAAAACAAGATATCAACAACTACTAAGGTATTGGTATTAAATCTCAGGTATCATATTAGCACTAACTTGAACATTTTCAAACAATCTGGGTATTGTTACTCATCAAACTCCAAGTAGGAAGAAGACACTAACCTAAGACAGTGAGATTAATTTTACTCAGGTCCTTCCCGACCTCGTTCATGACCTCAAACGTATATTCTCCCGAGTCCATTTTCTCAGCAGAGAGCACGTTCAGGCTGGAAATCATCCGGGAAAAGGAGATTTTGTATTTCCTCCCAGAGGCCAGCTCAACACCATCCTTGAACCACTTCGGTGTGAGCTCGGGGGTCCCGCACACTTTGACCTCTAGGGCGGCGATATCGCCGGCTGTCACGCTCAGAGCGTCAGGCTTATCCACAATCTTTGCTGGTTCTGGAATCAACAGACAAGGAGCAAAAAAACGTTTTTTAAGCAAACCTGTAAGGGAAGGGTGGACAAAAGAAAAGTGCCAGAGAAAGAGAGAATTATATGATTACAAACCTAGAACAGTCAAGTTAGCGAAACACTCCACACTCCCAGCATCGTTTCTGAGTTGGCAGGTGTATTTGCCTGCCGTGGTTGCATCAGCCTTAAAGACTTTAAGTGCGACCTGGTTGTTCTCAAAGGTGATTTTCCTGTTGTCACCGTCCCTGAGAATGTGATCCTTGTCTTGAACCCAGGACACAGTAATGGGTTCAGAGCCTTTAACAGTGGCCACAAGGGTCACCTCCTCTCCCAGTATCACTGTCATGTGTGACAGTTTCTTCACAAACGACGGCGGCTCTGAAGAGAGGAGAAAAACAGCGCAGAAGGGAAAGTCAGCATGGTGACAAAGTAATCTGAAAATCTATTAATTGTGATTTTCATCTAGAGACTATCGCAATTTCTACTGACCTCTGAGTTTAACTGACGTCTGGCAGGTGTCACTTCCTACACTGTTTGACACTTTGCACTCGTATTCGCCGGCGTCCGAGGGCTCTATCCCAATGACATGCAGCGTGGCCGAGCTGCCCTCGCTCACCATCTTATACTTCCTGCTCTCCATTAGAGGCTTCCTGTCTTTGAACCAAGTGATCTGGAACGGAGCTGTACCGCTCATCTCGCAGTACAGACTCACGTCCTTACCCTTCAGCCCTTCGATGGGCTGAGGCACTTTGACAAACGATGGGGCGTCTACAAAAAGATCAGGAAACTGTTAAAGAGGCTTACATGGGAAAATAATCCATGATGAAAAGCTTAAAGCTGAAGCCCGTAACATTTTATGTGCAAAAGTTGTTTCGGAAGTTTATTGGAACTACAGCTAAGGTGGTGGAGTTTTTGGGGGAGGTGAGGATGTTAGCATAGTGATTATGGCAAGTTTATGGAACTACAGATTAAAAGGCAGACTTGTGTAATTTCTCACAACTAAGTTGTGAATATTTGTTCAAACTTTAGCTAATGTGGCAGAATTTATGTGGAATTTCTCATAACCAAGTCTAGATGGCGGACTTGTGTTCGATGGAGCTAACAAGATGAATACAGCTAACATGGCAAAATTATTGTGGAATTATTTTTGGAATTACAGCTTAGATGGCAGAATTTATTTGGAAGTTGGAACAAATGTCCATATGGCGGACTTGTGAATGTTCGATGGAACTACAGTTGAAAAGGTAGACTTGTGGAATTTCTTGCAAATAAGTTGTGAATATTTGTTCAAACATTAACTAATGTGGCAGAATTTGTGGAATTTGTTATAACCAAGTCCAGATGGCGGACTTGTGAGCGTCCGATGGAGCTAACATGACGGAAACAGCTAACATGTGTTGTTGTTAGTTGAGGAAGTGCACTGAGCTGAGATGGCTCAGAAGTTGTGGAAGGATGATGGAACAGTACAGTTCAGATGGCGGACTTGTGAATGCCCAATGGATCTACAGCTAACATGGCAAAGTTGTGGAGGGAATTTGTTGGAAGTACAGTTAAGCTGAGATTTCTGATGTGGAAGGATGGTGGAACAACAACTAAAAAACCAAACGTGTGGAATTTATTGGAACTACAATGACGGCTATTTGTTGAACCTAAATGTAAGATGGCAGAATTTATGTGGAAAAGTTTGGAACAAATGTCCAGATGGTACACTTGGAAGTATGATGGAACTACAGCTAACATGGCGGAGTTATGGTGGGATTTTTGTTGTCAGTTTAGATGAGATGCCGGACGGTGTTGTGGAAGGCTCATGGAACTACAGCTAAAAAGGAAGACCAATGTTGGAACTGCAGTCCAGATGGATTTGTGGAAGTACAGTGGAACTACAACAACTGAGATGGCAAAGTTGTTGTAGATGGTTGACTGAACTACAGCTAAGATTTGTTGGAACTACAGTTTAAATAGCTGAGGTGTTGTGGATGATTGTGAATCCAGAATTTGAGAAAACTGCAAAGGTTCCAGCATGCTTTTTAATTGCATTGCCAAAAACCGAGACAACCCAACGGGAAAAAAAGGAAATAGTCTCAAACCAAGGTAAAGGCGCCGGCCTGAGCATTTGACGATCTTCCGACGTACCGGATAGATTTATGAAGACTTGATAAAAATGTTACGTTTTCCAGTTTTAAGCAATTCAACAAAACTTTGACATAAACCTCAACAACACACTGAACAGCCAGTGTGCCAAAAGTCAGACCATGAATAATAAATGATGATTAGGAAGTCAGTGAGAGGCTGACCTTTAACAGAAAGTGTGGTGCTGCAGCTGACACTGCCAGCATCGTTCTGAGCTTCACAGGTGTAAACCCCATCATCATCAAAGCTGGCGGAGAGCAGTTCCAGGACTGCTACTGAGTCAATAAATGAAGTCCTGTAGTTACCCCCGTCCGTGACCTTGGTGTCGTGTTTGTACCAGGTCACTTTCAGAGGGGCTGTGCCATTGACTTTGCACTCCAGGCGGAGTGACTCACCCTGCTTCACAAACTTAGTGGCAGGGAGTTTCAGCACAAACTCTGGAGGTTCTGGAAAGCCAAAATACAGACATATTAGCTGCTAGAAGCATGCAAAGGCACTTACAACAGATTGCTACAGCAGAAGGGAGGTGAGCAGATGAGATAAGCTGAGGAGATGAACTGACAATGATGGGTTAGCAGCAGAGGCAGGACGGCTGTGGAAGACGCAGGTGCAACACAAAGGCAACAAACAATTCCTGACAAGAAGCCCCGGCAGTGAAAAGCTCCATATGATAACAAAGAATGTGCTGCAAAGCTGGAAAATGTGATAAAAGAATCACTAGTTTTAGCCAGCGGTAGACAAGTGAGATGAATACAGCAACGCAAGAGTTGAATTAGACTTAAATCCAACCTTTGACCGTCAAGTCTGCACTGCAGCGTACAGAACCAGCATCATTGCTGACTTGGCAAGAGTAAACTCCACTCTGGGTGACTCCCACTGAAAAGAGCTCTAAGAAGCAAGAAAGCCCATCCAGCCCGGTAAAACATGTGGGCCCCGTCATGAGCTCTGTTTCATCCTTGAACCATTTGACCGTGAAGGGCGGCGTTCCCTTAAATGTGCCTTTGAAGCGCACAGTGGCATTGGGTAGAGCCGCCTGGGACTCTGGCAGCGTCACAAAGCTGGGAGGTTCTGAAGAGAACAAGACGGACCAGGTTAAAGAGGTACTCACCTTTGGTTTAGGATTACACGTACGATCATGTTGAAAAGCAGCGTCTGACCTTTTACTATGAGGGATCCACTGCATTCACAACTTCCTGCTGCATTGGTCAGTTTGCAACAGTAGGATCCCGCGTCAGATCTCTCCAGCTGCTCAATTTCGACGGACACAGAATTGTCCTGCTGGATGAGTTTGTGTTTTACACCACTAGAGATTTTGGTCCCGTCTTTCCGCCATTCAACAGATATGGGCAGGGAACCGGATATTTTGCAACATATCTGAACAAAGGAGCCCAGTATCTCTTGCATGTCTAGTAGGGGTTTGATGAAGCTTGGGGCAATGACTTGTTCTGTTACCAAAAGAATAATACGACAGTAATTAGTCTTTGTTCAACTTCTAGCTACAGAAGTTACCACAGGAGTGTTGTGTTTTTCACACCAACCTAGCACGATCACTTTGATTTTGCAGGTGCAGCTACTAATGTGGTTTGCCACCTCAAAGACATATTCCCCTTCGTCCTCTCTCTGAGCAGACTGAATCTTTAGGCTGCTGATGTTGTTCTCAAAGGTCAGCTTGTGCTGCCTGATGGACTGAAGCTCCCGGCCATCTTTCATCCATTTCACTTTGAGCTCAGGGGAGCCAGTTACCTTGCAGTCCAGACTGACTGGATCTCCGACTGTAACCTTTATCACCTCAGGTTTCTCTGTGATCTGAGGAGGCTCTACAATGCAAAGCAAAGTCAAAAAGTTCAAGTATCGAGCTAACGCTAAAAATAAAGAGTCAGAAAGCCATGATTAGTTAAGCACAGGTATACCTTGCACCGTGAGCGTGGCAAAGCACTTATCCTGCCCAGCCTTGTTTACCACCTGGCAGGTGTATTTCCCGCTGTGCGTCACCTCACAGGCAGGAATCCTGAGAGTGGCCACATTGTTCTCAAATGTTCTCTCAATCTTTGGATCCTCCAAAATCCAGTTCTCATCTTTTTTCCATTGTACAGAGAGAGTTGGAGAACCCACCACAATACACTGAAACTCTGCCATTTTACCCAGAACAGTGGCAGTGTTCTCAATCCTCTTGGTAAATGTTGGTGGTTCTATCAGAGAAAACCCACGACATGTTAAAGTAAGCAGTCAGTTACTTCCTCAAAGGATAAAAATGTGGATTTGTAATTCTGATTAGACCAACCTTTGAGGCTTAGCGTAGTCTTACAAGTACAACTTCCCACCTCATTAGCAACAGTGCACTGGTATTCACCGACATCTACAGTGTCACACTTGTGGACCTCTACACCTACAGTGCCATTCATCTGGGAGAAGCCATGTTTAGCACTGGGTTTGATCTCCTTTGCATCTTTGTGCCACGTTATCTCAAACGGTGCAGTCCCAGCGACCTGACACTCAAAACAGGCACTGGAGCCCTTCACAACATCAGCTGGGGCCAGCTCTCTAATAAATGATGGCGGTTCTGAGAGGAGAGAAGACAGACTCACCTACTGTACCTCAAGAGTTTATTTTGTTCTAAACATTTCATGCCACAGATTCTATCAGCATCTCCTGTGCATTTGGTTTCAAATAAAAGTGTTTCCTCCTGGTTTGAGACAGATTTGAACTCTTCAAGTTAATTAAGCAACCTGTTAGGCCAGCTGGTCTCTGGAAGATTATTTCCATTTTTAAATAATGTTTTTGCTGTAGGAACCTAACATGAAAACTAAATCAGAAATTAATCAAAGTCTATTGAAACCAAAGCCAATACATTTCTTTCAAGCAGAATGACAGGTAACCTAGGCAAGGTCGCCTCTTCAGTTTCTGGGAAACCACTACATCCAATCTATTAGTCTTGAATCTCCTGACACAACTAACCTTTGACCTTGAGCTCCATGCTGCAGCTCTCACTGCCAGCCTCATTGCGAGCCTCGCAGTAGTAAAGCCCGCTGTCTTTGGTGTCAGCCCCACAGACTTCCAGAGTGGCCACAGAGTTAACAAAGACCATCTTGTACCGATCAGTGGGGGTGATCTCGGAGCCCTCCCTGAACCAGTAGATGTCTATCTCAGGTGTGCCAGTCACCTGGCACTCAAACACTTTACTCTGACCAGGACGGACTACGGACACACGGGCCGGGGTCCGTGTGAATTTAGGAGGCTCTAAGAAAAAAATACAACAATTTCATCAGACAGATGACGAGGAAAAAATTTGATCTCCATTCATTTGACAGTGTGTATGTTTCCATCCAAATGTTGCTCAAATATCAAGCAAATCAGTGTTTCCATCGGCTGCTTTGTGGATATCCTGAAGATCTGTCCAATTTTTCAATCAATCACAGAAACCTGTTTCCATCAGCCTCTGTTGACTCTTCTGTCTGACTTTTCCAGCACAGCAAAGCATGAAAGCTTTCTGCACCCTTTATTTATGCTTTGTGGAATTCCTTCTTTCTCTTCCTGTCATTTTGGAGTTTTCCTCAGTAGGACTGAACGATATGTGGAAAAAATCTAATTGTGATTTTTTTGTCAGATGTTGTGATTACGATTCGATTAGCGATTCATTTAAGAAAAAATTTAGATAAATTTCAAAATTCAGTGCTAGTTTATTTTTGACGGAACCCGCGTCAAGCTGCACAGAGCAGATTAACCGGGCAGGAAGTCATAAGGAATGGGAACGGCATAGAGAATCCGGTTAATTTTCAAAATAAAACACCCTGTGCAGACTCACGATTGTAGAGCAACAATAAACACGGTTAAAAAACAACGTAGCCTACCTAATCATGGTATTAGCACCAAAATCAAGGACAACTGAACAAATTAACAAAATCTGAACGAGTCAGCAAAATCAGGCAGGCAAAATGCTCTTATTCTGAAATGCTCCATGTGGATGTACCTGTGCAAAGAGCGGAACGAAACGGGCTCACAGAGAGCTGTTATCGCTAGTTGAAGCATACAGAAGGACAAATTAACAACATGTTAACAAAGTAGCTGCACAAACACTTCAGTGTGAGTTGACGAAGGACAAAGTCGCTGTCTTTAATTGCCGTCGTCACGATTAGCTAATCGCGTTCTTTCAAATTGCAATTTCGATTTGAAAAGGATTCATGGTTCAGCCCTCGTCCTTAGTACAGAGAGGCTCTCCAAAAACACAGCTTCAAAGGGTTATGATACAGTGGTGGAGGAATCGAGGACCTCTTTTTCTTCTTCTTATATTGTTAAATCTATTTAATGCTGCACTTCCACTTGCCCTGTACTGGTCATATTTTTTTAACTTGTGCCATTTGCAAGTGGTTTGGGCCCTTAAGGGGCCAGTGCAGTGTTAAAGTGGGAAGCGCTACTCGGCAGTTTGCTCTATCAGAAAGTGGAGGGTGAAGTCAAAGGACAGAAACAAATTCCAATTCAAAAGTCTATAAGAACAGATGGATGGAGACATATTTATGAACTCAATTCCACATTCAGAATTATAACCTTTGACAAAGAGTGTCGCCTGGCATGAAGTGGATCCGACATCATTCTGTATTTCACAGACATATTCTCCAGAATCTGAGGTTTTGGCAAAGAAAAGCTCCAGTGAGCTCGAGGTGTTGTCTTTGATGACAGAGCATTCAGCACTGGATAAAATCTCTTTCTTGTTTTTAAACCATTTGGTGGTCAGCGGCGGCGTGCCAGAGACTAGTACGTTAAACTGGACCTTTGAGCCAGGCAAAACATTCATGGATTCCGGCTTTTCAAGAATGCACGGTGGTTCTGGAGAAGAGAAAAACAAATGAATGCTTCTTAAAGCTGCACATATGGCAAAGATCCTTCATGTTATCTAGATTTATCCTCCTACTGATAAATACTACTAAGACAAACTGTGTTCAAACCTTTGACAAACAAGTTCCCAGAGCACTGGACAGTTCCTGCTTTGTTTTTAGCGATGCAGGTGTAGCTGCCGCTATCTTTACTGTCAAGGTTAGAGATTTCCAGAGAGGTAACGCTCTCAAAGAATGTGCATTTATGTTTCTCATCAGTCTGGATCTCTTTCTCGTCTTTGTACCATAGTATGGTTATCGGCAGGGAGCCGGATACAAGACACTCCAGATGAGCAAACGATCCTTTGATACCTTCTGTCTGCTTCAGCTTTCTTGTAAAAGACGGTGGAATTATTTGATCTAATATAGGAGGGGAAAAGAGGTGAGAAGAAATGGTCAAAGTAAGATGTAATTAAACAAAACTAATTTCTAAGCTCTAAGGTTCACATCAAGAACTCACCGAGAACGGTGAGTGTGGCCTCGCAAGAACTTTGGCCAACGTCATTTGAAACCTCAAAGGTGTATTCACCGCCGTCGTTTTTCTCGGTTTTAATAATCTTGAGCACAGAGCTGGTGTC